TGGGTGGCTTCCCGCATGGCAACAGTCCCAAGCGGAGCTGTTAGGTACCCAGTTAGCCAACTAAACCCCAGGTGAACTGTTCGTGTTGTCATGGTTCCTGCAGCAGGAAGTCTGGCTGCCGGCTCTCTTGTGTACCAGGCCCACAGGTGTCTCCTGCATCCATTCCCCTCCCCTGTCAGCCTGTGCAGTAAAACACAGGACTGAAAGAGACGGAACAGGTCGGGACCAAGGTGGCTGTCATCATTTCCACTTGCTTCTGCACTTCGCTATGCATATGCTTCCCAACATACTTGCGAGACATTTCAGTCTGAACATGAAAGACTGGGTGCCACTGAGGAGTAGCTAAATACATTCAAGAGGAATGAAAAATAATATCAAGCAACACTCCTTCCATTGCCAGATTCCATTTTCAATCTCATATTTTGCATCAAAAAACACGGTTTCACAGCAAAAGAGATGAATTGCTATCATTGTGGAAGATGTGTGTTTTTGAACTTGAGACCCATTTTGACCCTGGGTACCATTAACGAGCTGCTTTTATTGTAAAATTAGTAAGAAAAAACTAAGGTGATGTTAAAGTATTACCAAGAATCTCTTAAGTCACCTAACTGAGGTCACAGCAGCATGCCTGATGCTTTCCTTTTAAGCCTAGCTAGAGATCATTATCATGAATAGCTATCACTAGGACATTTTCCAAACAGACCATAGAAATAAACTTATTTTCATTGATCCTAACATTAAAAAGACAAAGAAGATCCAATGAAATGAAGACAAAGAATATCACCTGTTGGTTATAAGATTACAAGTGGGATGTTATTAAATCACTTACACTTTTAGCTTATTACTCATACTACTCTTACAATTAATAATAAATTATTTCCATTTGTAAGTAATAACAGTTTTGACTAGGCTAGGAAAACAGCAGTTGTTCTGCAAAATTTCTTCGTAAATAACACAGAATTTCTAAAGTCAAAAGCAGAGATCACTCCAGCAGCACATAAACTGTAACCAGGACAGGACAGTACAGAGATTAGCCTGGCGCCTGATCAATGACATGCAAATTCACTAAGCATTCCATATTTTAAATAAATAAAAAAGAAAAATGCAAAACCTTGTTTGATGTAAGGCCTAACCTAAATGGTCGTGTTATTTTGGAGAAATAAATGTATCAATTTTCCCTTCTGTGATGCAGGATTAAGCAATTTGTACTAATTCTCCAGAGGACAACTAAAGAGCTCTTTCTGATGGGGAAAGTGTTTTAAAACCATTAAAGGGCTAATAAGTGAGTTAGGAAGTGCTTGACCAAGATCTACGAGAAAATGAGAATTCAAAGAGGCAAGATTCAAACAATCTGTCAGCAAGGCTCTACTGCTTCACAGGAATTCTCTAAGCCAGAAGATCAAACTTGAAAATCCTGGGTTTCAGGAAAAAACAAGCTTTTCATGAGTTATTCTTTTATAACTTTTGATTTTATTTTAATATACAGATATCACCTTCAAACAAACAAACAAGGTGCTTCATTTCACAGCTTTGAGACCCCACCAAACATCAGAGGCATTGGTAGCCCACAAACCTCACTAGACATAGAAAGCACCAGCAACCCAGAGATCTTTGGGGACCTCAGTAGAAGCACACAGCCAGACAACACAACCAACAAGGAAGATACATGAAAGAGATCATTGGATTCACCTCGTCAGGTAACACTCAAACCACCTGAGATACCAGAAGACAAAGATGGAACACACACTTCATATACCAGTGGAACAACCGACAACCTCAAATGCTTTTTTTCAGAAAACAAACTAACCAGTCTGATGAAACAGCTGGATACAACAGTTTGCTCTCTTCTGTGTAGATTGTGTGAACAACCTCACCACTGTCTTGTGTACTACATTTACTAAAATGCTATGAACTCTCTCCTCTGCCATGCTGCCCTGCCATACAGCCAGTCAATTATGGACGTGAACCTCTACGAACTGTGAGCTACAACAGATCTTTCCCCTTTCACTTGTTGGTGACAAGTATTTTTTGTCCCAGCAATCGGAAAAAAGGTATTTAAAACAGATTTTGGTACTGAGAATTGGGTAGTCCTGTGGTTCAGAAGCCTTTGAAACTGGCTTGTAAGAGGAATTTGGGGAGTTCTGGAGATGCTGGCTGGAGAAACAGCTGCATAATGCTGTGAACAAAGTTTGATGGGAGAGTGTGGTCAAAACCAGAATGTTAATGAAAATGTGGCCAGCTGGTAAAGACCAGGCTCGGGTTGAACTCCAGGCCATGGGTGTTATGCTGTGGCAGAAAATTTCTCTGCATTTTGTTTAGGTCTAGAGATAATGCAGAAGACTAAGATTAAAGGCAGCAGACCAATAATCTGGTGGAAGAAATTTCAAGGATGTCTAACGCTGAGGTGGTGGCACAGCTATTCTTGGGGCCTTGTGGCTCACTATACCTTGAGAATCAACAGCAAACAGCCCGATAAAATGATTGAAAATTCTGATTTTACCTGAAAGGAAACACCAGTAAAGTTACTGCCTGCAAAGATGGAGCAGAGAACTTGGGTGCTAAAAAGATTAGTGTTAAAAAGCCAAGTACATTGGACCAGGACAACAGAAAAGATGTAGGGAGGATATCACAAGAACCAGCAGGACTCCATTCTTCACAGCCTCAAAATTACAAAGGTGACTTTGTTTTTGAGATGAGAGCCCCAGGGCAACATCTTCCAGAAGGGAGGTAGTTTAGGGAATGGGATTCACAGTGTTTGGCAATCCAGGCCCTCAATTCCTACAGTCAAGAGAAGGAAGCCTGGCTACTGCTTCAGCCAGCAATTGATCTTTGTGTCACCCACATGGTGCTGCTTTTAGGTGGCTCATGAGGCTTCTGCCCAGATTTCAGAAGAAGACCTGGGAAGGCAGTGCGTGAAGCTGAAAGTGCCCTGGTGTGTATTTTCCACAGTACATCTCAACACAGACTAGTCACATTTTAAGTATTCAAGAATAATGTGGTTAACAGCTAACTTGAAGTTCTAGACATTAAAGGATAAGAAAGAGGATAAGTGTTATCATTGTTCTCTGGTCTACCCTGTTATTAACTGCAAACTATTCTTCAATTTTTAAAGTCCTTTCACAGTTTGTCTTTTTAAAGGATACATTCAATTTTAATAGAGTTTTCATCAGGAAGAATCACAGCAAGAGAAGCAGGAAAACAAAGAGTCTATTAAGGAATCTCTTCCATTCACCCTTTCCATCCAATCAACAAAAATTCAAGTAGTGCCACTTGCCCAGGACTGTGATGAAGACAGACAGAAACAAGCCTAGTCCTGAGATATTTTCTTGAGGAAAACAGAAAAAGAATCATTTACCAGATAAGAAATATGACAAAGATAATCATAGAATAGAGTAGCCAGGGAAGGACAACCTGGACCATTGACACTTAGGCTGAGAGCTACACGACAAAAGGGTGCTGAATGCTCAAAATGTCATGAAAAGAATCCCAGGTAGGGAGTAAAGTATGTGCAGAATCCTGAAGATACAGGAAAAAAAAAAAATTAAGAAAAAACCCAAGAAATCCCCCACAATGTTACAAGAGATAATTTGGGTGGGATATGGCAGAAGATAGCGCAATATGCAATTAGGGAGTAGGTGGTGAGAAACCCATAAGACCTTAATTTTATGTTTTGTTTGCGGAACCGGGGATTGAACTCAGGCCCTTGTGCTTGCCAGGGAAGTGCTTATTCCACTGAGCCATCTCCCCGGCTCCGACCTTAATTTTATGTTAACAGCAACAGGAAAGCACTACATTTTAATGTCTGAAAGATTTTAATGGCATCTCCATTTCAGATAATGACTGCGGCACGCTGAAAAACTGTTTAAGGATAGTAAAGATAGTAAAGATGAAACCTGAGATTTCAGTTAGAAGGCAAGTGAGTAGAGCAGGCCAGCGAAGGTGGTTGCGTTCTGGGCTAAGAACGTGGAAAATTAAGGACCTCTGCCTCTACCAGTTTTGCAGAAGCTATCCTCTGCGCTGCAAGAAATCCCAGACAAGGTCAACGTTGTTGTTTTGACCCCTCATGCATTTTGAGAAAAATGTTCCTTTATGTAAATCATCATGAAATTAAAATGCTGTCAATTTCAGCTATAAGAACACATAATCTGATGGCTACTAAAGTATTATTTCCAAAATGAGCCTTTTCTTTTCGAGAAGGTGGTAGGGCCATTCCAAAGCAGATGATACGGGCTTGAGAACTGAGAAAAAGAGGAATCATTCATTAGGACCCTACCCGGAAAGAACCAGGAACAGTACAAATACCTTGAGACAGGAACGAAATCGCTATGTTTAAGCAACAGAAAGAACCCAGGGGCGCGGGAGCAGCAAGGAATGCGGCTCACAGCGAATGCCCAAGCCTGTCTTCTCATCCATCTGTTACCAAGAAGTAGCCACCAAGAAACGGAGAAAAGGATTAAACTACAGCCGGGATTATCTTTTCACTAAAGCTTCACGGAAGATGATAAAAAAAAAAAAAAAACAAAAAAAACACCGCACCTAGCGAACAGAACAGAGATGAAAGTGAATGCCTACATCTAGGAGGGCCTGGCCGTGTATTCCGGAAGGCGTGACAACTGGGTTCTTAACCGCGGCCGCCACACCCTCAAGCATCAACACGTCAGGAAAGTCTTGTAGACTTTATTCCTGCCAAAGTTCTTCAATCCACTTCCCACTCGGCGGCTTTGCCTACCCCACCCAGCGCTTGCACACTAACAAGCGGCTTCTCCCATTAGCGGAGTACATAAACCTGAGGCAATTCCGGAAACGGTGCGCTAGCAGAAAAACGCCAGGCGACACGGCCCCGCGCCCGCCGCACAGCTGCTACATCACCGGAAGTTGCTAGTGTGACGCACAAAAACTGCCAGGGGGCGTGTCTTCCCAGCAGCCAATGAATTCTTCCCACCTCCTTTCTCTCGTCACAGTTATCCAATCCTGGGCTGCAGCGTTTAAGGGGCGGGACCGAAGGGAGATCCGGGAATCTACCGGGACCTGGCATCTCTGTTACTGCAAAGCCAGGAGGGAGGGAAGATGGTTTACATCTCGAATGGTGAGTTGGTGTTGCTGTGGGGATGGCTGTTGACTTAGAAAGCTAGACCCTGGGATTTCTTCCTTCCACATTAGCTGGGTCCAGGACTTTCGTGCCCAGTCGTGTAGAGGCCCAGCGTGGGCGCATTAGCTGATTGGATCAGGGCGGTCTTGGGTGGAGGACCCTTTGCTGAGCGTCTTGCTGGTGTCCTCCCCGCCCCACGCTGAGATTTGCGAGCCCAGAGGCTTTTCTCCGATACAGCTAGCTTCTGTATTTTGTTTTTCTGGTTTTTGGGGGGTTTTGTGTGTGTGTGTGTGTGTGTGTGTGTGTGTGTGTGTTTTGGCAGGCTCTCACTTTGTAGTGTGTGCTAGCCTTGAACACTGTTTACGTCGTTCGGACTGGCCTCGAACTCACGGCTGCCTCAGTCTCCCAAGTGCTGGGATTATGTGCGTGCGGCCCCATGGTCAGCTACAGCTAGCCTCTCATTGTGGATTTGAGAAAGTGGCGCTTCCTCACATTGGGGTTCTTCACCAGAAGGTCTACAATAGTGATCCCGGCTTCTAGCGCTTTTGCCTCGGGGACTGTTAGTGTTGTATGCTTATTAATCTAACAGACCTGGTCAGGTAATAATTGTTACCTGATTTGGGAAACAAGCACTGATAAAATTACTTGCCCTTGATCACAAAGATAGTTTCATGGCTGAGTTTAGATTCGAAGCTCTTTCTGTTCTGCGAGTAAAAAAAATAAAATAAAATTACGAGTAAAAAAAAAAATAAAATAAAATAAAAAGTAAACAACTGATGGGACCAAAGTTGATAATTAGATAAAAGCAGGATAGGAGGACCCCCCACACACACACACGCACACGAGCTTGTATCTAGTCATATATACACAGCGTTTTGCCTAAATTTTACGAAGCTCAGGAAGTTGTAAATTATTACCGGAATATAAAAATAAGCAAGAGGGTTCCATGACGTTCCAGAGAAAATGACTTGGAGGAAGACAGCATAACTGGTTCAGGTCAGCGTCAGAACCATCTGCTCCCCCGTTTGACTCCAGTGAAATTCCTTGCTCCAGTTTTGGCGAGTTCTTGGGTACTTGGAAGAAGGCGTTGGTTCTGTTTGAATCATCTGTTTTTATCTAGAGATTCATCTAGAAAGAATTAAAATAGTCAGATCTGTCTGTTTACCCTGTGCTTTTTCTTCTTTCCAAATGTTCGTGTTACCCACTTAAAATTTTTTGAAGTAAGTAGGGTAGTGGACAGTAAAAGAAGGCATCAGGATGTCATGTGGACCTTTGCACTTGTGAACTCTTGCAGATTTCAGTTTGTTCTATATTCTTTGTGATTAGTTGGCCTGGTGACACATGCCTGTAATCCCAGCATTCAGGAGGCTGAGGCAAGAGGATTGCTGTGAGTTCAAAGCCAGTCTGAACTGCGTAGCAAGACCTTGTCTCAAAAAAGTAATTAAATAAAATTAAAATTTGTGATTAATGTTAGTAGTATCCGTTTATCCATTATCAGATAATTCCTTCTATTTGTTGAGTGCCTTAATGTATTAGCATTGTCCTTTTCCATACACTTAAATACTCTTGTTAGACTTTCTCATTTCTGTTGTTGAGAAATGTAACTTCCTTTGAGCTTTTCTTCTGGGGTTCTGGAGAGACAAAGGGTTCTGTCTTCAGAAAGCTTTTCTCCCTCTGCTCTTCAGGAGGGAAAATATAAACAGCAAGATAAGATCATGGACAGACTGATAAAAGTTTCTTTACACTCAAAATTTATGAGTTCAGATTAGATCATTAGGTTGATCTTCTTAGAAGGACTGCATTTACCAGTACTGTACTTTGGAACCAACAAAATATTCCTCAGATGACTTTTCATGCTTTTCAGAATTCCATAGCATGGCTAGCCTTGGAATACGTTTTCTCGGGGAAGGGAAATATCCCATCTGCCAACAAAGCACAGCTAATGAGAAGCAGGACCGAGCCCACACCTGCTCATTGACTCCAGCCTTTCTTGCCACCTCAGTGAGAGCTTAGATCCAAACCGGACCAGCCTGAAAGGTTTAGGAGAGGAAACGTAAACCCTGGTAAAGGAGGGGTGCAAATAAAACCCTGGGGATAATGTAGAGGTGAGGCAGGTGGTGAACAGCTGTTCTTCTCAAAATTTTCTGACCTCTTGATTTGCATGGCCGAAACTAACTTTTCATCTAATAGTTGCTGTTATTTTAAAGTGGTTTGGGGAAAAAAAAAAAAGTCCTCCTTATATTATTAAGTCCAGTTTTTCTTGGGGTAAAGCTATTGTTAAGAGCATCCTGCACTAGACAAGAGTGGTCATTTCAAAGAAGGAGAAGCCAAACACCCTTCAGAACCTGGAGACTCATTGCTTTATAGAGATTTGATCACAATAACTCTTCCTAAAGACTTGTGATTGTAGATAGACAATAGACTATGCAAGGCAAGAGGAACCTGCTGAATGTGAACCATTTAGGAAAATGGAAGTGATTAAACATTCCTTTATATCTGCCCAGCCTACACATTGTAGTGTATAAACCGATAATGGTATGCCCATGTTCATAGTAGCGTGATTCACTGTCTCAGTTACTTTTCTCTTGTTGCTAAGACGAAATACCTGACACCCAGATTTAAGGAAGGAAAGGTCTATTTAGTTCACAGTTTCTGGAGGTTTCGGTCTATGCTCAGCTGGCTCCCAGGCAGAGAGGCACAGCAGAGAGCAGCAGTTCATGGCAGCAGAAAACAGCAGAGCAAAGGGAGGGGCAGCAGCTGTGGCCTCTAGCCAGCCTCTCTCCCCTCCTTACACCCTGTGCTGGGGGTGCAGCACTCACACCATGTCCATGCCCTCCTCTTGCATAAGATAAGGATGTTTACAAATTTAACCATCCTGGCTCTCAGCTGAGTCACTTAATTAAACTTCTAAACTTCTCAAGTTGACACAGTGTATCAACCAGTACATTCACAGTAAGCAACCTGTGATCTTCTGTCCTTGGACAAAATGTATATACATACAATAAAGTATTGTTCAGTCTTTTTTTGACAGTTAAGTAAGGTAGGCCCAAAAGACAGACATTTTGTTGTTGGTAACCTTGACTGTGTCTGAAATTTGGTAACGATTAGCAGCCGGTAGCCAGAATTGTCTGTTCCGTCTCTCACTTTCTAGTTCTTGGTTTTCACATGTGTGTGCCATTTTTATGTCTTGTTATACAATAATTCAATAAAGGTACTTCTCATAAGGTTTCTATGGTAGTTAAGTTCATAGTCAAGAAATAGACTCTTGGGCTGGTGAGATGGCTCAGTGGTCTAAAGCACCTACTTAGAACAAGCTAAGCAAAAGCACAGGGATGGGTTCAATCCCCAGCACCACATGCCAGCCAGCCCCGCCCCCTGGTGGGCTGAACTGGCCACACACTAAATAAATAAATATTAAAAAAAAAAAGAAATAGACTCTTGTTGCCCAGGGCTCAGGCAGTGGGTGATAGCGTCAGGGTTTAACGGGTATAAAGTTACGGGTCGGGAAGGGAAGGTTTCAGAGGTGGACGGTGGTGAGCGTGGCGCAAGTGGAAGTGTGGGCGGACTTTATGCCACACAACTACCTAAAAATTGATAAAATCTGAACTTTTATGTTCTATAGATTTTACCACTAAAATGTTTGATTAAATGCATTTTACCAATAAAAAAGGAAGAAAAACTCTTGGCTAGAATGAAATCACCCACAAGACTTGAGTATTGTAGTTTTTGGCATTTGTCATATTGAAGGGCTAGCTTCTCATGTTGACTATTCAGAATAGTGGCTGAGTTTATCATTGTTACCTAATTAATTAAACATAATCCCTCTTCCCTTAGGGATTTGTTTGGTTTCTTTTTTTTTTTTTTTCTTTTCTTTCTTTTTTTTTTTTTTTTAAGTAAATTTGCACTATGTAACCCATGCTGGCCTCAAACTCAGCAGTCCTCCTGCCTCAGCTTCCTGAGTGCTGGGATTACAGGTGTGCGTCACCACACCAGGCTTGGGTTCGGGCTCTGTAACACTCACTGGTTTCTTTATTCTTTATAGGACAAGTGTTGGACAGTCGGAGTCAGTCCCCTTGGAGACTATCATTAATAACAGATTTCTTCTGGGGAATAGCCGAGTTCGTGGTTTTGTTGTAAGTATAGTAGTGCTCTTAATTGCCTGGTGTTTTGACTGAAGTACCCTAGGTATATTATATGGAGATTTCCAGGTACACAAACTTAGCTTTCCTGAAGCAATTAATTTTAATTTTAAAAATTGCTTTACAAAGAGAAATTAATATTTGCTTAATGATACAGCTGCTACCACCAAACCTCTTCATAATTGTGAATATAAATAGTTGGGTTGCTAAACTTGACCCTGTTTTAACTAAGTAGCTGACTTTGGAGTGAAGAGTTAGACATGATGCACAGACCAAAAATTTTAAACTTTTGCATAACTTCAAGTAATTGTGCATTACATATATTTTTGGCTTTTTATATGCTATTTTATAAAAATTAACTACTGGCAAGTTTTACTCAAAGGGAAGCAAAGAAATGGGAGACGGTCCTTCACTGACTGTGGCGTCAGTAGGGCCATCATGTCGTGAAGAAGAGTGGCTGTCAGAGGCAGTGACTCCACATGGAGGAAGCCGTGTGAAGGGTGGCGCCGCACATGGCATATCGAGCTGTGATCTCTATTTGCTTGTAGGTGTTGTTTAGAAAGTTGAACGTTATAGCCATGTACAGCATAAATTAAAAGGAATAGAATGTAAAATAAATGAGATGCTTCCAAAGAAAAATATAGCAGGGGGAAAGGGGAGGGGGCTAGGCTATATAGCTCAGTGGCATAAGCCCCTGCCTGACAAGTGCAGGGTCCTGAGTTCGATCCTCAATACCCAAAAAAAGAAAGAAAAAATATAGCTTGGGGGAAAAAGAAGGGGGCGGGAGATAGCTCAGTGGTGTAAACCCCTTGCCTGACAAGTACAAGGTCCTGAATTTGATGCCCCACTCCAAAAAAAGAGAATACCACAGAGGACAAGAGAGGGTCCTAAGTTAAGCACAAAACTACATTGTTTTACAAATTTTGGCTATTCTTTTCCACAAACAAAATGCCATTTCACTGGATTCCCAGAAGCCCCATTTCTCCGTTATAACAGCCTCAGCCCCTCACTCTGTAAGGCAAGGTTAGGTAGGCTGGAGGCAGGGGCAGTGCAGGAGGAAGGGGCCTGGGGTACTACAAACAGACTCTGGACCCTCCCAGTGGATTGTGAGTGGAAGAAGGAAGGCCAGGATGACTCTGCTTTGATATTCTGTCTAGGAGAATGATCAACAGAAAAGGAGTAGAAGGAACGGGCTGAGACAGATGCTTAAAACAGGTAGTCATCCAGCCGGATGTGCAAAAGTGGATTTGGAACTACTGGGTTTAATCACCTTTTCATGTAGGTGAGGAAGCTGCATGTCCAGTTAAGACCATGGAAGTATGCTTTTATAATATTGGCAAGAGTGATCCCTCTTGATCCCTGTTTCTGTTCCTTGTTTCAGTTTCAAAACTCTACTTCAGCAAGATGTAAAGAAAGGAAGAGGCTACAGAAACTCATCTGATTCCAGATACGATGATGGAAGAGGGTATTTCTTTTCTTTTTTAATAACAGTTGTTTACCCCTTTGCGTAGCAAATTCCATTTGGTATTTAGATAGATAGGTAGATTTAGGCTTTTGAAAATGAGCAATTTAAATCCCACTTCACAAAATGAATGTTACTGTAAATTAAAAGCAAAATAACCTCTGATTGGATGAAAGTTAATCTGGAAATACTAAATCGACATTGAATATCCAATGGGAAAAGCCTAAATTAAAGGATAAAAACAGATAGTGAACATTAAAATCTGGAGATTTCAGTCCAGAAGCTAGCTCAGCGGACTAAGCACCTGCTTAGGCAAGTGCAGGGACAGGGGTTTCATTCCTGGCACCACATGCAGCACAGGTCCTGTGCTGGCCCTGCCCCTTGGCACTCTGAACTGGCCACCAAGACCAGGCGTGGTGGTCCAAGCCTATAATTTATACCCAGCGCTGGGGAGGCTGGAAACAAGAGGATCGTTATGAGTCCGAGTTGCATGGTAAGACCTAGTACCAAACACATTAAAAAAAAAAAAAAATCTGGAGATTTCATTTTACAGTCTGAATTTCTAGTTCTTGCTAAAAACCTCAGCAGATCGAGAAAGTCAAGTAGCACTGGGCTAGGCTTGTGTGCCCACGAGGCGGGAAGTAGCAGGACTTGCTGTTCCTCTTGGCACTCTTGGGAGGTGCTGTGGTCGTTTGACTCGTCTTCCTCATGTGCTTAAATGTGTGACTCCTGATCTCAGTGGTAGTTCCTAAAGAATATCCTTGGGATTATGTAGTTACTGAGTGGTTAAAAGAAAATGCGCGGAGGTGTTTTCTACCAAGCCGTGGATGCTAAAGCCGGGCATGGCGCGTGCCTGTAATCCTAGCACTTCAGAGGCTGAGGCAGGAAGCTTGCAGCAGGCAGCCTGACTTGCAAGGTGAGGCCCTGTCTCAAAACAAACAGTGGATATTTTATCTTTTATTAGGCCGCCAGGAAACCCTCCCCGAAGAATGGGTAGAATCAATCATCTTCATGGTCCCAGTCCCCCGCCAATGGGTGGTGGATGAGGAAGGTAATGTAAAAGCTACAGTTTTATAAGATTTTATTTTGATAATCCTTCCTTAGTAATTTTTCTTTGGGAAAAAACAGTAACTGCCAAACAGTTTGTTATTACTATACACAGTATTATTTGGAAAAATAATTGATATCTTTATCTTCGAAAAATTCTTTGATTTCATTAAAATACTGTTTTAGAAAAGTTTTATAACATATAATGTGTTAGGGGCTGGTGAGATGGCTCAGTGGTCTAAAGCACCTACTTAGAACAAGTTTAGCAAAACACGGGGACTGCGGTTCAATCCCCCAGCCCCACATGCCAGCCAGCCCGCCCCCTGGTCGGCTGAGCTGGCCACACACACACACACACACACACACACACAAATAAAAAAAAAACCATATAATGTGTTAGACTTTTCCAACAGGTTCCATTTAGTAACTCATGATAACCTTTTCTTTTAGGTAAATGTCTGCTTTTAAGAAGCAGACAACTGGACGTACACATTCATAGGAGAAGGAAGCCATCCGGAAGTGGAGGTCGGGCCGCGCTGGACGAGTAGATGGATGTGTGCGTCTCCCCAGGAACTGCTCTGTGCTGTCACAGATGAATGAGGTCATGCCAGGAATTCTCTCTGCAGGGAGCTGGCTTGACTGATGCGCAGTTCTATAAATACATATCTTTGTCTCATTGTCTTTTTTGTATAGTTTATTAAGTATTGATATAATTTTAATAAATATTTTTAGGTTGCCTACTGACCTTTCATCTTTGTATAATTAAATCACAGAAACTCAATTCTGAACCTCAAGAAAAGAAATAAAAGGCTGTGTATTTAGTACTGTTAGTGTTCCCTTTTTTCAATTTCTGAGGCGCTGCTCACTGTTGATTTGTTCTCATTTATAAATAAATTGCTGTATTTCAGTAGTATGCATATATATGCGCTCTTGGATTAATGCATTTATTGTGGTCCAGGGCCTTTGCCTCTCTAACCCTTTTTCTTTTCATTTTGAGGCAGGATCTTCTGTGTTGCCAAGTTGTCCAGGCTGGACTTGAACTTGTGATCCTTTTGCCTCGGCCTCCCAGAGTGCTGGGATTACAGGCATGCATTACCATGTTTTCAGTATGTTTATCTCATGAATATTCAATATATTGGGACTGATTTGCTATCAAATATAATTAACAGTATTTATAAAGCCATAGCTAAAGAAAACGGCTTCAGGTGGGGTGTGGTGGCGCACACCTGTAACCCCAGAGCTCAGGAGGCTGAGGCAAGAAACTCATGAATTCAAGGCCAGCCTAAGCTGTAAAGTGAGACCCTGACTCAAAAAGACAAAAAAAGGAAGAAAACTGAACTTCATAATTAAGATACGCTAAATCCATTAAACAGTGCTTAATTATGTTTTAGATCCAAAATATCTCTGCAAAAGTCTCTTGTGTTCAGAGGTGGACCTGTTAGAAGGTAACTGCATCATTGGACTGAACTCAAGTGCTTGTAGGAGGTGGAGCTTAGTTGGGGGCGGGGATCGTCCTTTAAATTGTGTCAGGTACAGTGTCCCAGTGGCCTCCAAGTGACTAATAAAAATGAAGTAGTACAGGTACCTCCCTCGGTCTTTCCTACTAGATGCCTCAGGTAACTCAGCACCCTGTCAATCTATCTAGGGGCATCCAATGAGAAGCATGCAGGGTAGGGCGCACACACTTTAAATCCAAAAACCTGATTTTTATCTTCCCTCTTCCTGTTCCCTTGCTGTCCCAGCACCATGTTCCCATGTGAGCTACCTTTTTGTTTCTAGTGGTGTGACCCTGCATACCCCAAGTACACTTTCCCTTTAATTCCAATCAATGTGTAAGCTTTTTCTTTTACCATCAGGTGTACACTTGCAATTCTTGGTTGCTGTACACAAGAATCTAGAATTTCAGATCCATCACATGCAGTATCACTGTCCTGACAAATACAATTTGTGGGCGTGGGGAGGAATCGAACTTGGGGCCTCTTGCTTGCTAGACCGACCCTGCTGCTGAGCTATATCCCCAGTCTGTCCCTATTGGTTTTCAATTTCATTTGAATGCTGTTAATGTCAACAGTTTTCACTGGAGTGGGGAGCTGTATGAGACTAGGAATTTTAATTTTACCTCAAGCATTGAGCAGTAACAACATGTAATAGGAACTGAAATATTTATAGGGAAAAAATACAGGTAATTCTTCAGTATGTAACAAACTTTGAAATTAAGTGTTTGGATATAGCTAGAAATTCATGTTTATCAGGAAAGAGGGATGTAGTGGCAGAGTAAAGAGTTTATTGGCCACTGGGTTCTGACTTTATTATTTTATTTGGTACAGGGTTTTGCTACACAGCTTGGACTCGTCCATGGTGATCCTCCTGCCTCAGCCTCCCCAGTGCTGGAATTACAGGGGAGTGCCACCATGCCTGGTCTTGATGGCAGGCTCAGCGTGACTGGGGGCGGGGCTGGCACAGCATGCTGTACCAGGGATTGAACCTGGTTGGTGCGTTTGCCAGGCAGGCACTTATCCCACAGAGCTATTTCCCTAGCCCAAGTTCTGACATTTTTACACATTTAAACATCTTAAAGTAGCTTGTGTTCAAATCTAGTCTGCTACGGAATTGTTGATAATCCAAGACAAATCATTTTATCCCAGGTTTTTTCCCCCAGTTTTTTCATTTGTAAAATAGGTGTTCCTTTCTCAAAGAGCCCTCTGCTCAGCAAAAATTAATTTGAAGTTTTATTTGGGTACCTACTATGCTCTGAAGGTAACAGCAGTAGTCGGGAGGCAGTTTACAGGCAAGATTACAACCTAACGCTCCATGCTTCAAAGGAAATAGCCCGCTGAGGGAAGAGCAGCATGAAAAAAGAACAGCAAGAGGAACAACCTGGGGGAGGGCTTGGTATGTCTGAGAAAAAGAAATTAGCTTCATAGGTCTTGAAAGAAACTTGAGTGTGGCTGGGAGCGCTAAGAAAATGGAAGCATGATTTGAGGTGGAAAAAACACAGCAGGAAGCAGATTGGAGCAAGGCCTTGAAGAAAGCTGGTGCAGGTGCTGTCCCCTGGGCCAAAGGAAACATGGTTTATGTATCTGGATGTCCTCCCCACCCCCAAAGCCTCATGCCCTCAGAGATGGGACTTTTGACAAGGGATTGGATGGTGGGGACCTATAGCTGATTTGCTATTAGAAGATAGCGTCTTGTGGGAAGTGTGGGGGGGGTCCCCCTGGGGGTGCATCTTCCTTCCTGCTCCCTGCCTTCCCTCTGCCTCCTGCTGCGAGGCCAACGCCCTTCTGCCAAGCCATGGAACATGCAAGGACTGAAGTTCCTACAACATAAGGCAACATAAACCTCTCCTCCCTTAAATTGTGGGTGTTGGGTATTTTGTCCAAGTGAGGAAGAAAGTAAGAGACATTGTGAGTTTAAACCATGGGTGTGACATTTGATTTTTTGTTTGGGATAACATTGAAACTGTTATCAAGTGGGGTGCTGGATATATGTATTGACGATCTTTACTTTGTAGTATTTTAAAACAAATTTATCTGCATCGGAGAGCTGGGCGTGTAGCACACAGGCCTGTAATCCCAGCACTCCGGGGGCTGAGGCAGGAGAATCGCCATGCGACCTACATAGGTGAGACCCTGTCTTAAAAAACAAAAAGCACAAACACCCTATAGGAGGGACAAGACTGGAAACCGGAGGTCAGTTTGAGAGGGTGTTGTAGGAATCACACCTGTGAGTAGGAAACCAGGTGCCAGTCATGGTCCAGCCCACGGAAAGTGCTCCAAACGCCCCGCTTATTGCCTCCCTGGCCCTCTGCAGTCAATAGGAATCACAACTCACTCTTAGGGCGCAGCCCACGCAGCCGCAGCCCCGCCCCTCCGCCTTTCCCAGAATCCTCCTGGATGACGCCCGCGGCGACCATCTTGGTTCCGGGCAGCCAGGCCGGAGGCTGCGTCTGCGCACTAGCTTCCGCGTCCCGGGGGCCGAGGTGGTGCTGCTCAGGCGAGAGGCCGGTGGTCGTCCGTGCTCGCGATGACCCAGGCCGAGAAGGGAGACGCGGAGAACGGGAAGGAGAAGGGCGGGGAAAAGGAGAAGGAGCAGCGCGGCGTGAAGCGGCCCATCGTGCCCGCCTTGGTGCCCGAGTCGCTGCAGGAGGTGGGGTGCCGCGGGCGGGTCCGGGTTGGGCGAGGAGGGGAGCCCGGCGGCTGTGGGAAGGGCTCGGGGCGCCGGCGAAGGCCGCGGCCCGGGTGGGTGTGCGAGGCGGGGTGCCGCGCGCGCTGGAGGCCGGCGGGAGCGCCCGAACTCCGCGTCCCGCGTGTCCCCGCCGAGCGCGCCTTGGCTCCCGCGCCTCCGAGGGGTGGCGCCCGGAGAGGAGCAGCCGCGGGGCCGGCGGCTGGCCTTCCCCAGCCTGGACTTGGGGCCTGGGGGGCTCCCCGGGCTGTTTTCTTCCTTAACAAATCTCAGAGGGCGACTGTCACTTCCAACCTAAAAGCAATGGAAAGGCAACTGTCGGCGCAGTAGACAAAACGTGCGTCAAAACCAGAACCGGCTAAGTCCGACTAATCAGAAAGAAAAGGAAAAAAAACTGCCTTATCGCGGCAGGAAAAAGACACAAACACTGATCGAAGAAAACATCCACGTGCCTGTAGAAACGTGGGGCGAGGCGAGGCGAAGCGGAATTCCCAGAAGAATTAAGGAGCTATGAAGCAGAAAGCGTAGCGGGGCGGCTGGAAGTGCCCGGCGCGTGTGGGTGAGCCCGCAGCGCGGTTACTGCCGTCGCCCTGGCCTGGTTTCTCTGCACATCTAGTTGAAGGGGCACGCAGGGCTGTAGGGTCCTTGACACTTCAGCTCTTTAAGATCTTCGCACTCTGATGGGGCATGGAAGATCTGCATTTGGGGGTGGGGCAAACATAAGGAAGCTTGGCATGGAGTGGGTTAGAGCGGCATTGGGCACACAGAGTGCTTTTCAGCTCTGACAGTCAAGGAGGTGATGTTCGAATTGCGATCTGAAGAGGAA